GTATAACGCTACTTGCCAATAAGAGAAAACAAAAGAAACAAAATTTTTAACATCCTATAAAACTACAACTGACTGATTCATACATTCAGAGACGTTTTCATTTGTTGCCACAACGTCGCATTATAAGTCTCTCCTTCTAACAGTATGTTTTATCTCTTTTAAATTCATTCAACCCATTCATATGCTTTGCTTTATGTGACCTTTACAAATGAACTTTACGTTACCGTTTTATACGTAAGGATGTTCTAAAATTGTTTCTTTTGGAAAATTTAATAACTTGGTAAATATTGATGTTTAAAGAATGTAAATGTTTAATACAATTTTAAAAAGTTATCCTCTATATGTGTGTTCATTTACTGTCGCGATTGTAACGACACGCTGTATATTAATATGTGAAGCAAAAACGTTGTCCCCCTTTGTACGAAATTGCGCGGACGGAGGAGTTTGAAATTTCCCACACTTATAGTTTATATAGAGAAGGAGTGCAGAATGCCAATATTTTTTTAACTATGCATAAAAATACATTAAATCAATAAAAAAGTAGGTAGGTAATACTGAGACAGCTTGAAAATTTAAAGAAAATAGTTCAAGTGGTTTTGAGGCGCATGTAATTTTGCAGTGCAGGGATTTTTCTTATGTTATGTTAAGTTGACTAGAGAGCGGGCGGTTCACCTGATGTTAAGTGATTACCGCCACCCCCGGCCATCTATAGTCAGACGGGTTACAGATGCATTGCAAACAAAAGAAGAAAACAAGAAATGGGCCCTGGTTACCTAACCTCACCAGACGAAACGCGAAAGCGTAATCCACAATGAAATTAAATACAAATACTAGGTAGATATGACACTAACGCACCGAAACTGAGGCACTAAAATTAAACCAATTGGTGAAATTAGATTGCAATTCTATAGACTATAGCTATCTCTTTCTGTATCATACGTTCTATATCATCTGTCACATTCACTTATATGTCATTATAATGTAAAGTGGAACAATTTGTAAACGCCACGCAGAATATGCGTCATCTTTATTGAAACATCATTGGTACTACATACTTCCAATTCCGGTCTTCTAGGAATCCGTGGGACTTTCCCGGACGCCCTGCCCATTCGTGCAACAGCCGATGTGGCAGCATTTTTGGCTCTACCACAGTGTACATATACACATCTATTTTTATAAATATGGATAGATACGATGTATTACTTTGTTAGTACATTTCCAGTTTCATCATTGACCTATCCAATTCTTTTTTTTACGAACATTGCCCTAACTTACGGATAACATTATCCCGTGTTGTAAGGACGTTTTACAAATGTTAATTTCAAGTAGACAAACACCCATGCGAAACAATTATCTGTAGGTCACACGAATAGTTTTGCCGTGTGGGAATCGAACCCACGACCTCCGACACTGAAGCCAACCTTGGCTTCTGCGCCACGGAGTCATCATAGCTATGTCTAATTCTATAACTGTTACATGTTACAAAAATACAAACATCGTTGTCCTATTTAATGACTTGTTTTTACTATGTCACACATATATTACAAACAAGTATTGTCTGTTTCATTTTATAAAATCGTAATAATGCAATAACACATTCCGTATGTTTTGTGTGTATGACGAGATAAACCCAAAACCAATGTGTGGTTGAGGTTGTATTTATTATTGTGAGATGATACGATTGACAAATCGCTTTTCGATAAACAGAAAGCGAAGTGCTTTTAATTTTGCAAAATATTACACAAATCATTTAAAGTTAACGCATCGCTGAAAAAATTTCACGATTGTTGCGCATAATCTTATTGCTGTTACATTAGTTTAACAATACTTTGCGAAATGAAATTTTTTGTGAAAATAATTAAGGCTATATTCATATTATCTGAATTAGTGAATTAGTGAAGAATCCTATTCTCGTATATGTCCAACTAGTGGGAAAAGGGTGGACAACTTTTTTGTACAGATTATTTCAAAAATATGCGGGTTTCCACACGTAAATAACGTGTGGAAACCCGCATATTTTCACTCAAAACAATATCCAGAAAATACCTATATTATTGTCTCATTATACAAACACGAATTGTACTATCATTCTCTAACTATGGTAGAGGAAAACGACATAATGACAGCTCCTGAAGAAAGCGCTGATATAATAAGAATAGCGATGTAAACTATCAGGGCCCCATAGAAGATCGGTAATGTGAAAATATTTTAACGCTAGCTCCAGCGAGTGAGGTATCTGCCTACTCTTAATTAACACGCCAGCAACATCTTGGTGTCAATGGGTGGCCTGATGTTGGAGTGTTTGTTCCTGCTTCGGTTTCCAACTCTTTTAAAAAAAATTTAATGATTGCGTCACACGTATCTCTTCTCTCTTCTTCTTCCTCGTTCCCTCAATGCTGAGGATCGTGATCACGAACAATATATCGTCAACCAGTGCGATCGTGCGACTCGTGGACAGCCGATACATGCTACCGACCACTGCCCCCTTCACAGCATCAGACCATCTTGCAGGCGCCCTGCCCCGAGCACGTTTGCCATCTATTTGGCCGAAGATAATTAGCCTCTCCAGATCATGTCGTGACGATCGCATGATGGGACCGATGAAGCTGAGGGCACGTTCTTGGCATATGCGTGAGAGTCGTTTATCGATGTTCAGTTCTTTAAGGATGGAATTGTTTGTTCTCTGGCAGTCCATGGTATCCGCAGCATTCTCCGCCACCACCACATCTCAAAAGCTATATCACGCGATTTTTCACGCACGTATATTCACGTATTGTATGGAAAGAAAGAAATTTATTTAACATCATAAAGAAACAATAGAACCGTCGCGTCGTGACCATTAAAACCATTGCTGTCACTTTCGTTTGTGCGACCAGCCCACAAATAAGGTCTGTTAGTTAAGTGCGTAGTTAAGCGGACGTACTAGTCGTCCGCTCTCAATTTTGAGTGTCATCATCTTTGCTAGCGAGCTCACATGGCTATTTGTTCTGGGATCTCTCATTTCGGCACTGAAGCCGTCGTTTGTTCCAAATGGCTCTGTGAGTGTTCACATTTAATTTATACTGATTATCTGCTACGTATCCAATATTGGACAAGTTATTTAAGAGATAGTTTATGTATACATTAAATAGCGAAATGATTTTTCGCTTATTCTAACAATAGCATAAAGTCCACATTTCTTGTGGCATCTCCCCGTCTGCCGCAGCTTCTGGGGAAAAAACAAGAATGCATGGTTTAAGTCGACTTAAATAATGCATAAGTCGATTTTTAGTGCTCAACTATTATCATTGTTTCAGTTGAGTCTTACTTAATAAGTCGGTTTGGCTTTTGGCATTACTTTCACATTATAAATACAGTTTATTGCTAAAGGGGAAATAATTAATTACTATTACGGATATCCGTCCGCTTATTAGGCCGACATTTAAGTGACGGATAGGAGCCGACAGGTTTATATTAGAATTTTGAAACTCGAAAATCTTTTGATGATGTCGATGTATGAATTTTATATCTAACTAGTGGATCCCACAGACATGTACTCACGTCTTAAATACGACAACTAATAAATAAAATATAATAAAAAAAACGTTTTATAGAGGACTGAATTGCACGAAACCCAAACCATTCCCTCTTGAACACACAAAAAGAATTTCATCAAAGTCGAGACAGCCGCTTAGGAGGAGTTCAGTGACATACACACGTACAGAAGAATTGTATATATAAAGATCGCCAGTGCTTGAGTACAGCAATGTTCGGTGAGTAAATTATATGAAACTTCGTTACAATCTGAAATTCGCATTTGTCCGATTATAATCATTTTTTTTACTAACGAAAAACAAAACCGACTTCAAATATCTCGCTCTGTATTCATTTTATAATAGATTTTTTAGTATCTCCGGAAACTAAGATCCAATACCAATGAAATTAATATGGGACCACGTGGGAAGCGCCAGCTTTCAAATAAAAAAAGAATCATCAACATCGGTTCTCTCAGAGAACATTCTGAGGTAACAAACATAAAAAAAAATTACAGTCGAATTGAGAACCTCCCTCCTTTTGAAGTCGGTTAAAAGCAAGTTAAATGACGTCTCTGCGAAGTGAAAAACATAGTATATTTTACGTCACAGCAATAAGAAGAGTACAATTGAAGTAAAAAGCTGTACATAAACAACTTGCACATAACTAACGCAATTTCTAACGTAAAATGTTCGTAGAATAAGGTCGCCGTGCAACTTTTTAGTGTGCAGAACACAATTAAGATGACGCGTCACGCTTCCCCACGTAATGTATACACGCGCCACTTACAAATACACGCCAACAAACATTTACCGTGCATAATGAGAACATTGTATGGATCTCACAACGCTTTGTGCCGACGCACAGGCACAATGGGCCGTAACATTTGTTTACGAAGTAAAAACAGGCGATAAACATCACTTGCGCTTTCGAAAATACCTCGGTATAAAGGTGTTTTCGAGTTCCGTCACGGGAAAAATCGCGGAAACGATTGCTCGTGCGAAATATTTCTCCGCGCGAAAGGTCGTGTCGGTAATTCATGATCGAATTACGAACCGGTGTTCGATTGTTTGGATTGTTTTTTTTTATGTTGACGTCACAGCGGTTGCGTCGGCAACCTTTGAGGGGATCGCCCTCGGTTACCTTACTTACTTCAGGTCAATGATGTTTAATAATATTATGGATGAAGCATGTCCACACTGTACGGCGTTTAAAAATTGTTCCGATTTACATTATATGACATATTAGGTTAATGTGACATATGATATAGAACGTATGATACGGAAAGAGATAGCAGTCTATAGAATGGCAATCTAATTAAACCAATTGGCGTAATTTGAGGGCCTCAATTAGAAATACTTTTTCCTCAAGCCGGTGCTCCTCGGACGAGCGAGCCAATCCATGCTCCAGCAGAGGCTGTAACTTTACAGTAAAGATGTTTATTTAATGACTGTTTTTTTAAATTAATGCATAAATTCTCTTTGCAGTGGCAATCGATACATTACCTGCCCCGGAAGTCGAACGTGAGGCGTCAGCGCGCTATATCACCCACCACGCCTTTCCCCTGCGCGAGCTCCATCCCCTGGGGTAGGAGCTCCAAACGACCGACGTCCGTGCACCGCTTGAGGCCAGGGGACATTGACGTGGTGGCCGCCATCGGGGACTCGCTGGTGGCGGGCAGCGGGGCCCTGGAGGAGTTTGCCCTGGGTGCCATCGTAGAGTACCGTGGGGTGTCCTGGTGTGCAGGTAAAGCTTTACTCTCACGTGCCAAATTGAAGACCCATTCAAACTCGAAAAGAATGGAGCAGTTAAAACGATTTAACTCATCAACGCTTTGAAAAGCGTGACGTTACAAAGAGGATCATGGCCTGGAAAGTACTGTTAATTATCACGTAATATCCAGGCGTGCAGTAGAATACTAATTACAAATCAATCTGACATATCCAATTACAAATTATTAAAGTAGCTTTTTAAGCAACTTCTAACCATTCAAACTTGAAAAGAATGAAAAAACCATAATAATCAATACATTAACACAAGGTATGTGGAAGTGTCTTGGTAGAAAAGAAGGGCACAAGTCTTGGCTGAATCATCTGCCTTAGACCATCAGACTTTCATTGGATCAACGTTACGAGATCATGTCGATAGAAAGAACGTTACACACCGATAGTATCTCAACATTTTTCCCAGATTCTACAGCTGATCTAAGAATAAATTTATATTCTACTTACATTAAATTAAACACAGGCAACTCCCAAAGCAGCTGCTTTTTGAGTGTTAATCACTGGTTGATCATTACGCGTGTTCTAGGCGGCGATAGCACCTGGCGGGAGTTCCTGACCCTGCCCAACATCCTGAAGGAATACAACCCCAACCTGCGGGGCTACTCCACCGGCACGGGGGAGTGGCTCGCCAAGAACTCCAGGCTGAACGTGGCCTTCCCAGTGGCATCTGACGAGGATGCCTACAAACAGGCCAAGGTATGGCGCTCACTGGAAATTTTTTCTACAACTGCGCCATTCTTTTATTTGAGTAATCAGACATTATGTTCCACAAATCATTTAATTTGCGATGGAGATGATAGAGTTGATTTGACGACCAGAATGGCGTAATGGGTGTACCTGCCTCTTGTACCAGAGGGTGTGGGTTCGATCCCCACTACTGGAAAAATGCTGTTGCACGAATGGGCAGGTCCATCCGGGGAAGTACCACGACCTCGCAGAAGACCGGTGTGAAGTGGAAGTGTGGTGTAATGTACTTCTCCGTTTCGTCTGGTAAACCAGCTCACTTGTCACACTCTCACATAAAATACATGTCCAGTATGGGTATTGAATCCATGATTTAAATATTTCTCCGACCGGGGTAGTAATCATATACAAAACATACTCCTGAGGTAAGCAGTCAAACCTCAAAATATGGAAATTACATTGAGCGAAGTTGTTTATTTGTTTAACGGTCTAGACTAACGGTGAAACGTATTGCAAATTTCGCAAATAAAATCTCACAGATGGCTTCAAATTTATATTTACTATACGCCCACAGAGCTATCTTCAGTGTGTTTTAATATTTGCTAGATTTAGAGCAGATAGCTGCAACAACGCTTGTACCTGCCTGAATCTTTGTTAAAAAAATAGCGTGTTTATTAGCGTGCAGTCGTGCGTAAAGGCAGGACTTGCTATCAGCAATATGTTTGGAAATTAAACGCCCAATGAAAATGCCTCAGTTGGCAGGCCGCAATTCCTTTGGCGAGTCTGGTCTTAATTTAAAAAAAAAACTACAACGGAAGCCCGGCTAATTTAGCCAAATGAAATACTGAGTTGGGTCATTAAGTTACACAGTTAGAAAAATACGAGAAAGTTCCTTTAGAAGACCTACTAATGAAGAATGAAGAATGACTAATGAATATTTATTATATTAATAGGTATATATATATATATATGTTTATTATGGCTGTAAAATTGAACTTTTTTAACTTTTACAGTTAGTTCTTCTATTTGCTATATTATTAATTCTTGGCTATGCAATATTTTGAAATAGTTTTTATTATAAAATTGTTTGAAATAGTTTTGAGTTGAATTGACAAATTATAAAACAAAACATTTAACTTAAACTTTCAAAAACCTTATTAATTAAGTATAAGCACTTTATTTTAAAGTCCCAGTGTTACTCAGCGACTCGTTCGGCCCAGTTTACCGAAAAGTTGCGTCGATGTTTTGGTCGAGAGGTGAAAATAACGTTTTGCAATGCGAAATGTGTTTGCGCGATAAACGGCCGAAGAACTTAAACCTTTTTACACAATAACGGAGCCTGCTATATATCACTGGCAATGCGTAAATCCCAATGATAAGTTCAAACCGTTTAAAGATGGCGGCGATGGGAACGTATTTACAAAATGACTGAACCGTTTTGTTTTTAAAATCGTTTGCGCTAAAAGAAAAAACAAGTGCATGAAATGTTTACGATATGCATTTAAAATAAATGTGGTAGGTTGTTAAGTTTGCCTGGTGAGTTTGGTATCTGGGGCTCATAAATTGTAGCTTTGCAACGCTTCGGCAACCACACGTTAAAGATGTTTGTGGGCGGCGTTAATCACTTAACATCACGTGAACCATCCGCTTGTTTGGAACCTTATATTACAAGTAAACGGAAATCACATTAAGTTTAGTGTTTCCTTCAGCGTTAAGTTGCAGATTGTTCGAAATAATGAAAATGCGAATCGACTTGCGGATAATCCCCTGCAATATTTGCCAAGATTTCGCAGCTTATGAAATGTGATGTATTGGCACAGACAATTTAAGGCGATAGATTGCAAAATTGTGTCTCATTGCACAAGAAAATGAAACATTCTCCGAAAGAATTATACTTAGTGGCTTAGAATAGAGCAGATCTAATGTAATAGTCGAATGAATTATTTGGCGATGCAAAGGACTGTTTCTTTCTTGTGCACTGTCGAAGTCGAGCTTAAATAATTTCACCGAAAGCTTTCACTGCAAAAGCTCCCGTTACCTTAAACTAGTTTCGAGAACGCACGCGTGTAATTGTAGCTTTTTAAGATCTTTGGACATAACGGATTACGTAATACACTCTGGTATTGGACATCTGTTTCTGACTGGGTGACTTTGAGTCTGGGTTCACATCTCGATTTAAACCAAAATCCGTATGGAGTTTTCCGACTTGTCGGAAGCTAAAATGAAAACAAGCATCTGATTGAAATTATTAGACAAATCTTCTTGATTTATAATTAATTTCAATTTTTGATAGTCTCTCCCTTCAAGACAAAACTGAAAATGTAAATTTATCTAGATAAATGGACGAAAACAATTCTGATATCTACATTTTATTGTCGTACCGTTAGTTATTTAAGCTTATATAAGCTCTGTAGTTTAAAAGTAAAAAGTACTGTACTACTAGCATGAATAATTATATGGTCTCCAGCAACTTGCTAACATAAATAATAATAATAACAAAATTTCTAAGAAAAAAGTTCAAAGTAAAAATATATCTTTAAATATAAGTATTTCCAATTATCAAATTAAAAAACATTTTGACTAAGCACGAGAAAAACAAGACGTAACTTGCGGTCCTCGCAGTACATCTAGCCTGTATCGTGAAAACTCGCTCCAAAATGTTTAAAGATACGTTTACTCACCGAAGAGTTCTTGTAATTTAAACAAATAATTCAATCTATACGGTTAATATAATCAACGTTTCTTTTTAATGTGTACTTTACTTTTCAACATTACCATATTTCTAACATAACTATGAACATAATTGCGAGTATAATATATAATTGCTGATTAAAGTCGACCTTACGCCGAATTTTCGAAGCGTGAAGCGTAATATTCCGTACGGCATACATTTCGGGCGGTGCATTACGAAATTATGTTTTTTTAGCTTGACGTATTAATCTTTATGAAGTAAATAATATCGCATCGTATAACTGTTGCGTATATTATCGTTCCGATGAGAGGCTTTCTGTGGTTCAGATATTACGATCATATCGAGTCTTTAGAAGACTTACGCCCGGTTTCTGAAACACCGATCGTCGTAGATGTCAACTAATCAGCTGTCAAATGGCTTTTCGAATATTATTTAAGTTGCGAAAAGGATGGTAGGGCCACGCAACAGTGTTCGCTGTTGCTTGTATCTTGTATCTTGTATTAACTGATGTTTTTGCTTTCAGTCCCGAGACTATTAAAGCTTCATCTGACGCAGAACCGGTGGGCTAGCCAGAACCCACGGGTTTGGGCCCTCCGCTGTGGGTAGGGCCGCGCATGTGCTCATGCGTGCGTTTAACTATGACATGTCATCTAAGGGCCATCGAAGTTGCGGTGCGGACCGAGACCCCGATGGCCGTCGACTGTGTTTTTAGCTAATCGGTGGCTGCGGACGGTGAGAACCGCCCTGGAACGCGGGTGTACCTTGTGTACGCGTTGTGTTGGTCTCGCCGTGCTCGGAGGCGAGGGCGAACTATTGTGTTTGTTGGTACACTAGCTGTGGGTGTAGTGTTATCCGGCGGGACCCCCAGCGGTGGGTCCGGAGTATCTAAGTCCCCTTCCTCGACCGGGTCGATGAGGACGTTTCGCGGGCGACGCTTGTTGACGTTCGCGTTTGTGTCGGGTTGGTAATTTGCTGCGCTTACCACCAGAGGGTTGGGATGATGTTCGGCTTTATCGAAGAACCGTTTTGTCAGATCTTTGAAATATTCGCGAATCGTCGGGAGTCTGCAAGTCGCTGTGCAGATCGACGTTGCGTTGATACCACTGCGCACCGGTTGCACGGCGGATGAACTTATTTTGTACTATTTGCAGCTTGTACAAGCGAGTAGGGTGCGTGTGTGGGCGAAGATCATGCATGCGTAGGACATAATAGGTCGTACGCAGGTCTTATATAATAATAATTTGTGCCTTAAGGGCATTTTACTTTTAGCGTTAGTTAAATTGTGTAGCCGGCCGGAGACGAACGCGGCTCTATTACGAACGTTATTAATGTGCGTAGTAAATGACATACGCGAGTCGAAAGTGACTCCTAAGTATTTGACCTTTTTCTCCCAGGGGAGCGGTTGGCCATAAAGGGATATTTGCCCCAACTTTCTGCATTGGCGAGGGCCATTATAAAGATGTGACGGGAAAGTACTTCGTGTGAAGTGAATCGCCACACTTTTTTCGGGATTTATTTCTATTCTCCATTTGCGGAACCAATCGCCGAGGCGGTCGGCGGCGCTTTGGAGTCGAGTGGTTAGTATTCTAAGGTTGCGGTCCGAATAAAAGAGCGCGGTGTCATCCGCGAAAAGCGCGAGATTGACGTGGGGGTCTTTGGGTATGTCGCTCGTGTAGAGCGTAAAGAGCAAAGGTGAGAGGCAGGAGCCTTGTGGTACGCCGGCCGTGAGGCGGCGGCTTGTGGAGAGGGTGCCCTCGACTCGACATCGAAGTTCGTAAAGTAGAAGTGTTGCACTTCTGCGTTTCGTCCGGCAGGGCAGACCAGTTATCACTTAACATCAGGTGAACTGCCAGCTGGTTTGCCACTTCCTCACATAAAAAAAAATAAAACGGTAAATTTTTTTGAATTTATCATTCTAATCATTAAGAAGATCATTCAGAGAATTTAATCGTTTTACAGCTGATTAGTTAACATCTACGATGATCAGGGTTTCAGAAACCGGGCGTCAAAGATGTGTACTAACAGTTATTGTTGACTTAGGTCAATTAGCATTTAACTGGTAATAATCTTTGTTTGTAGTATTATTTATTAGCACGTTAGGGCAAGCTGGCGGTAAGTGGTTAGCATTACACATTTTTGTTTTGTTTGTATATATAAAGTTACCGGCGTCCACCTATAAAGAAAATGCATCTACAACCTCATAACGGTTGTTGCAAATGTCCGTAAACACTTCAAATTATTTTAAAAACCACCGAACGTCAAATGGACTGTTTAAACATTAGTTGAGTGCCAATATAATGTCTGAGCGTTGTATAGGTATTTAAAGTTGTTTAATTCCTACAGGAGCTTGATATAGTATCCTTTTCTCTCGTATAGAAGCCGTGTTAGCTCTGCTAGTACATCTGTGAGTTCGCTTCTTATTTAATTAATTACACTCACGTATATTGATTAACGTCTCTTTTCCGGCAACTAATGAGGTCTGTAGTACAACTCTACGTATTGATTTATGAAATACTTGACCTATTGGAAGCGTGAGAAAGTCAAAGAAAAAATTTTTTTATAGTACTAACTCTGCACTTAAGATTAAACATTAAAATTTGTAGAAAAGGTACGAAAAAGATTGTCGCCGCTGTGGGAATCGAATTCACGTCTTCGGCCTTCGCGGCCTTAAACTTTAGCCACTAAGCTAAACGGCTGATTGCCACACCGACGAAAATCTTAATGTATTTTATCTACATTTGTTTTTTAGCATTTGAAGCAATGCTTGGCATCTATTTTTATATCCTTTCCAGCATACAAACAATTTCGAATATCGTTTTACAACGATAATTCGAACGAGAAATGTCGCCATTGCTTTTTAGAAATTCTTTTTTACATTGCTAATCTCTGCACTTAAAATTAAACGTTAAAAATTGTAGACAAAAAAAAAAGAAAGAGTAATTTATTTTAGTCCAGGCCGGGGAAGAACCGCGGAAGACGGAAGCACTGGCCGCCTACTCGTTTCGATGCTTTTCAAAAAGTAAAAAAAATTTCAAAATAAACAAAAAACTTATGCTTAATTACGATTCCGCCATTTATACTACAGCTGTAGTTATAGCGTGGCTCTACCACCACATGCAGATGACGTAACAGATAAAAAATTTATTTGCATAAAAAGATTACGCAGGGACACCAGAAGAAATATGTGAAAAAAAAAATGTGATCGCATGAGGAAGCAATATCTGCCAATTGACAACTAACAATCTCAGGTTTGAGACGGGATAGGCTCGGTAGAATTTTGATAGTACAAAATATCTATCTCCGAGGTTCTTTAAGATTTAAGAGTATTTGTATTTGGTGTGGAAAAGTATTGAGTAGTACGTCCCGACGAGCACTACGGCCTAGGAAGATCTGTTGTGGTCTTTCCTTCGAAAATGTTGCCTTTGACCAACCGTTGCTTATTTGAACCATTATCCTGTGTTGTCAGTTGTAGCAGCGTATTATATGTATAAATTTCACGTGGACAAACACCAAGATCCGAAAAAATTATATGTGGGTCACACAAACAGTTGTCTGGAGGAATCGAATCCACGAACCCCGGCGCCGGAGCTAATATCTCGGTAACTGCGCCACGGATTCCTTAGGTTTAAGATTTCAAGGCTGAGTTCAAGCTCCAACCTCCAGATCCTGGTGGCACGGATGCGCGCGTCCCCCGACATCGACATGGAGCGCGACTGGAAGATGGTGACGGTCTTCATCGGGGCCAACGACCTCTGCTCGGCGTCCTGCTTGTCACCGGTGGCCTGGTCGCCGGCGGCGCACGCTCGGAAGCTGGCGAGGGCCCTGGACTACTTCTACGAGCACCTGCCCAGGACCATCATCAACCTGATCCCGGTGCTGGGTAAGAGATTTAAACGCAAAATTTTGAACACCCGATACGATTCAGAGCCTGCTCTCCACCAATAAAGCTGATAATTCACACTATTTGTCGCGTCCAGAAAGTTCTGATGTATCGTAAGAAAAGTGAAGTAATAGCCTATATGTGCATTACCTTCCACGCGACCCGACAAAGGATCGGCAGGCTTCACATATGTTCGAAATATATTTTATGCCGATGTATCAAAAATAAACAGAGGTTAATTTTAATACTCCATTTTGATTATGCATTAGGAAAGCCAAGCTTCCGATAAGCGTAAATAATTATGTATCTGAGAAACAAGTCTTTGAGAGGTTTGGTGAACGAATCGGATGGAACGTGTGGAGATACAGGGCGCTTGTCACTCATCATCGTTTTATACTTCTGGGTCCCGCTGTGCCAGAGGTAGCCGAGACCCCCCCACTTTATTAAAACTCGTACTCTTCTTACATAAAATGCGGTGCTCGGTCGGTGCAGACGTGTCCGTGTCGGTGCGCGTGGTACGTCCGCTGATGTGCCGGCTGATGCACTCGCTGTTCTGCACGTGCTTCCACCGCGGCGGCGGCGAGCTGGCGGACCTGGTGCGGATGGCGCGCCAGTACCAGAAGGCGGAGGTGGCGCTGGTGAGGGCCAGTGCAGTCGAAGTCAACTGTCCAAGTGACAAATATCAATCTGGCCCATAGTCCAAGGGCCCAAGTCCTCAGACTATGAGACAGATTGATATTTGTCACAATCATTAGTCTGTATAACGATATTTGTCACAACCATTACACCGTACACAGATTTTTCTCATAATCACCGCACTGTACATAGCGTGTTCTTTGGTGATTTTTTCTGTATATTAATATTTTTATAATCACTCCTATTAGTTTTACATTAAAAATCGCGTTTTACATTAAGAATACGAATTAATAATACATTGAGATACAGTGGTCAATTAATTTGGAAATCTGAAAGTAAAAAGAAGGTTTAGTTCACTGCCGGATCCCGTTCGCAATGCAGGGTTTGATGTCCTGCTCCGGAAAAATGTTCACACAAAGTATACACAATCCAAGGGCCAACTAACACGTTTATTTTAAGCCCGAAACATTCAGCTCTCTCGCTCGTCCGTCAACGGCTTATGAATAAAAAACCCGTGAAAACATTACTGTGCCCCAGTACATAAGACAGTACATTTTCCATTCACTGTATTCGAGTCGATATAAAAATTTGAAATCTTTTGTAACGATTGAAAACTTTAACTTATAAGTTTATTAGAAATTAGCTGATATTCGATTTTCAGATTACAAAGTACCCCATTGGTTGTATAATGTCTATATCAATAATCCGTTATTACAGCAATAATTATTGTGCAGTAGTGTTACACATAAATTGCACACGGACGGATACGTAGATCCGAAGTCGTAAACTAGTGAATCCACGACCCATGACGCTGCAGAGAGTAGCAGCGCTAACGCATCTGAAGCATCAAAGGCCAAGGTGCTCTTCCCCACGCGTGGGCTTCAGCGTGAGTGTCCCCAGGTGGAGTCCGGGCGGTACGACCGGCGCGAGGACTTCACGGTAGTGGTGCAGCCGTTCATGAGGCTGTTCAACGCGCCCGCGCCCCCCCGCCAGCCCCTGCCGCTCGTCATCCACCGCTCCTACATCACCCACGACTGCTTCCACTTCTCGCAGAAGGGCCACGCGCTCGGTAAGAAACGACAAACGCGTCCAACAATACCTCAAGCGGATGTCTAATATCTGTCAACATCTAACAGAACTAGCAATCCAAACGAGAGCTGTTTGAGTGTCTAACGATGATTAGATCACTAAGTGTATCAATTGAGAGTAGAAGGTACAATGGAAAACTGTAAAACTCAGTTGAGAGACACCGAAAGAAACATCGGAAACGTTTTAGCTTAGAACACAATAAAACGACGACTGACCGGGCGTCAGATATGCAACACCCCACTCCCAAAAACTAACTGACTCAGTCAAACTTACTTAAAGACCACGAATACTGTCTTACGGCCGATTCCAATATTCTATCAACAGATAGATTTGGTTACTGGAGATTGAATTTTGGCATAAGTATTATGGAGCTAATGTCAAATACCTATCGCTAGTAACCAAATCTATCTGTAGATAGTAGTATATTTACGTAGATAAAATATTGAAACCGGGCGTTAGATTTGACTCCTCCACCTTTGCAGCCGCGAATCTTCTGTGGAACAATCTGCTCGAGCCAGTCTACAACAAGTCTGACAACGTGCCACCAGTCCTCCTGAAGTCTTTCCGCTGCCCCACCAAGGAGGCGCCGTTCTTCTTCACCGCCAAGAACTCCAGGAGCTACCAGCTCAGCGGGCGTCAGGAGGGCGCGGAGGACTTATGACCTGAACCCCCCCCCCCCCCCCCCCCCCCCCCCCCCCCCCTCCCCTTCCAAATACACTAACAGATGGAGCTTTAGTGAGCAAAAGTGTTTTATACCATAACCTATATGTTTCAAGAAGATAAGATCAGCCGGAACTCCAGTTAAAGAGGAGTCAAAAAGTTTTGGACATTCCTCCATTTCCAGTTGTAGAATTTTGGTTCACTTTTGGTAGAGGCTAAGATTGTATTTGTTATCGGAAAAATTGCTCAATCGACTAGTCGTAATTTTATACACAAACACATTTCTTCATTTATGTATCGGAACGAATGGTTTTCGTCATCGCACTTGACACACAATGTGTAAATGTTACATTTGGTTCATAATGTGTGGCTTAAGCCAGCTTATCCTTATGAAATGTTTGTATTAAGACATAAATGATTAACAACAATCACTGAGTCAAGAAAGCTCGGGTTTTACCTGGGATATTTGCAGAAAATTCCAGGCATACATTTTAATATCGTTTCTAACACAATGATCCTTATTTTAAAGAGATTCGATTTTCGATTTAGAATTCGCTCTATTTCAAAATAACAACTGTGCTATAATTCAACTCGAAATTTGTGATTTTCTTTTAATGTCTGTGGACCCAAAACAGTAGTATTCAGCATATTATCAAACTTGTGACTTAGAAAGAATCCTTCCTCGAGTCTTGAACTTATTAAAGGAAATTACGTTACGATAATTTTTAAAACTTGTTGCGCAAATAATTAATGGCCAAATATTGTACATAGGTGGCATGCAATGCTATTTGGCCATTCTGATAATAAAAAAACCGCAATATTTGCTCATGAGCAAAATATCCTCATAACATCATAATAATGTTCGTTTGCATTGGTTTAAGATGACAGGAGTTAATATTTGTTAATATATATTGTTCTATTCCATTTCTAGACTTAAGATATGGACATACCTCATTATTGTATAGGTTCCTTAAAATTATCCAAATATATGACCCGGAATATAAGAAAGGATTGTTTGATAAGGTATAATATACACAACATTATACCTTTTCTTGTATTCTTTTATTTATTCCGATATTGACAGCAAAACATTACATATTATAGATTATAATAATTTGTAACATATATTATTTTTATATACGTGTACGATGTTAGAAAGTGATGGTGGAACCAACCTAGATTTTTAATTGGATTTCTGACATATTATAGAGCCGTTCAGAGCATCCAAATAGGGATAAGTTATAATGTACCATCGGGACAATCGGGGGAAAAAGACAAAATGAATGTCCAGACAGATTTACTCATTGATGTAAATAAAGTCGATCGCGTGTTAAAATCATCAATATTGGAAACATTAGAACACTATTAAATTAAACAATTAAATATTAAGTTACTTACCTTTAATGAATAAAAATTATAAGAACATTTTTATGATGACCTTCATTTTCATTAACAATAAGGCACAGTAAAAGAACTTTTTGTATCTAAAACTATTGTCACATGTTAATAACTAATATAAATGTTCTAGTTTTGTTAGTGCCATTGATAACTTTCGTGAATTCTTTGTAATTACTGTAAATAAAAGTGCGAATAAAGATAAATAAACAAAAATCTGTTAATGTTTTAATTTTCAATGACAACGTTTACCGCCCTTGCTTCTGTTGTATTACTCACCAAACTACTCTCCTGTAAAAAAACAAATAGCAATGATTTGTTTATGCAGATTTATAAGTTGCCGAATGAACAATGCATTTCTTTCAATAAAAATAAGGAAAGATTACGTTTAAGCTGCATTTTGATTAAGGATTTCTTTTAATGTGAGAAGGTGGCAAATGAGCGGATGGTTTCCCTGATGTTAAGTGGTAACCGCCGCCCGTTAACATTTGCAACACCTGTAGAGAGTTGCAGATGCTTTGCCACATTTTAATAAATTAGGCGCCGGCTACCTCACTCACACAGACGTAACGCAGAAATATAACACCACGCCGATCTTTTGTGATGTACTTACCTGCCCACTCGTGCAATAGCGATCTGTTACTGACAGAACCACCCTAAAATTCGGTCGTAGACTATCGAATCGTTAGTCTTGTATGTGAAAATGAGTCGTTCAGGCGATTAGGCGCATCATCTGATGTTAATTGATTACCACCATCCTCAGACATATACCTAAAAGATTAAGATGCGTTATCTCACTTTAAAACAGTGACGCCCGGTTTCTGAAACAATGATCAGTGTTTCTACTAATCAGCTGTCAAATGGCTTTTCAAATGTTATTTAAGTTGCCAAAAGGATGGTTAAATGATGAATTGATTAGAATGATCTTCTTGGCGTTTAGAATGAGAGGTCTTCTTAATGAACCGAGAGTCCGATTAGCTCACTCACCAGATGAAACCTAAACGTACCTTAGTACAGTACAGTATTGGTAGGTCAAGCTGGTACTGTGAGGTATGTACATGCCCAGCCGCACTGCCATCATGGCCCTACCGGTTAAAAGTTAGTGGGACCTCACTGCGATAAGGGAGAACTTAGTATACACGGGTGGGATAATTGCTGTTACCGCAATAGATGGAGCTACAACCGCGTGCCTACTGAATCGGTAAGACGGTCGCGCCCCATCTGTATTGGAGACGTCGGGCCATTCGGCTGTTTTTGTCTACATTCCGACAGAACAATGCGAGGTGATTTCACGGTTCATTTGCCGACGGAGCCCGCTACGAGCTATATATACTGTCGTCGTCATATTCACAGAAGCATGAATACAATGCTAGACATAGGAAAGTACGCGGCTCTATGTACTCATATATTAAAGTTATCGTAAAAACGCTAAATAACAAGCCGTAATAGCTCAGTGTCCTCGATGAATTCAGTACACTTTCTTTTTGTTAACGTGGGGCAAATGTCTATGCAATGGTTATGTCGGACTCTCACCGACTAAAACCCCCACGATGTTCCACCTTGGCGCATATCGGCAGGGCCACGGGAACGCTTTCGCAATCTTCCGCAACCCTGCCAGCGCTGGCCGCCTGAATTCAGTATACTAGAGCAAACAGGAGCAACTTGTCGGCACGAATAAAACTGTTATTACAATTTTGAGTGACAATTTGTGCTCGGCCATGAAGGAAAACGTCGTGAGCAAAATTGCATATTCGATAAGAGACAATTAGAGAAAAGTAATATGTGTGAAATCTGTCAACAGATTCAGTAGAGTCGTATGACCCAACAGACCTTGTCCTGTACACACGACTTAAATCCGACAACAAATTATAAATTAAAAAAATTGTAATGGTACGAATTGTGAATTTAAACCATTTTCTCGAATCCACCTGAAGACACTCGTATTGAATTAAAGGCGAGCGCCCGGACACTGAGCTATCATGGCTATCTGCATTTTAACCGACTTCAAAAAGAAGGAGGCTATCAATTCGGATGTTTATTTATTTTTTATGTATGTTCGGGCATAACTCCGTCATATATAGACGGATTTGCAAAATTAATGTTCTCTATAAATCTGTATAAGCGTTATGAACGCTCAATGTCTCTGATTGTAATCTATTCAACAAAAATTATATACAAACAAAAATGTATTAAATTATTATTAAATTTAGCTATTAATTTTTATAGGTTTATCTAATAGACTACGAGCGAGCCTTTGCTCTTAATATGGGCATTACCTTAAGAAGCAATACAAACGACAATTTTTAACGTACACACGCACACACTGAGGGTTCTATGGTATCAAATTGTATTAATAACAAACTAGCGACCCGCCCCAAGCTTCGCATGGGTGCAATGTAGATACTAATGTGATGCAGTGTAGAGAGATTAATAATATTATGATTATGATTAGTCTATACCACAGAATATCTTTATTTACAATATTTACAACGGTTTTTCATGACTACAACATCACACACTACGAACATATCACATTACAAATGTTTAAATTTCTCTGCTTTTCTCTATTACAATATACACTACATATAAAACTTCCTCTTAAATCACTCTATCTATTGCTGAAAACTGCATTTCAAATCCGTTGCATAGTTTAAAAGATTTAGGTGTACAAACAGCGGGAGCACCTTTGTTGTTTTATAGTATGCAACAAAGATCATCATCTAGTATGTTAAGGAGAAAAATGGCTTTGCAAATTTTGTAACACGTTCCGAAAACCTAGATACACAGGTGTTTAAAGAAACGTTGCGACCAATTGCCTAACACTGAATATTCATTTTACGGGACCGGATAGTTAAGTGTTAAATATAAATCGATTTAAACCGAGCTAAACAAACTGTAATTAGATGACTCACAAATTCATTAAGCCCAAGCATTGAGGGCTTTATTCGCGAGTGTTTACGGTCGATAATTGCTTGGCTCAAGTGCCATATGGTCTCGCTATTTCTAATTAGGTACAGTCAACCCAATCGATAGACCGCATATGGCGCTGGCTGCCTCAAGTGCAAGGAATCAATTGGCTTCAATTGCTCCAGTGCCTTTGATCGGTGAGACTATTGTTCAACGTTTTTCTTCCGAACCCTGCAATAGGATAAATAAGCTCTCTGTTAACCTTTGAGTTATGTAAGCCCATTCGTGCAAAAGAATAGTGTTCAAGCCTTTTTTTTTAAGTTTTTTATAGTGCTTATCTGGAGAGATAAGCACTATAAGCACGATAAGCACTTAAGATAAAACATTAAAACTTGTAGAAAAAGTGCGAAAAGATTGTCGCCGCTGTGGGAATCAAACCCACGTCTTCGGCATTCGCGGCCTGACGCTTTAGCCACTAAGCTCAACGGCTGATTGCCACACCGACGAAAATCTTAACGTCTTTTATCTACATTGTTTTTTAGCATTTGAAGCAATGCTTGGCGCATCTATTGTTATATCTTCAAATGCTAAAAAACAATGTAGATAACTCGCACTTTTTCTACAAGTTTTTACTGTTCAAGACTCTTCGCAGTTTGGACAGGTCCGTCCGGGTAAATACCACCATCTGACGGATGACCGCGTGAAGTGGAAGTGTTTTGTTTCTCCGTTTCATTTGCTGAGAGAAGTAGTCGGAACCACTTTATTATAAGACATACATACAGACAGACAGACAGCGGAGTCTTAGTAATAGAGTTCCGTTTTACCCTTTGGGTACGGAACCCTAAAAATAACCGGCAATTGGGGTCTGATGTGCTTCTATATAATTTCAACTAACCAATGCGGTTGGAAATTTTAACCGTAGTTGCCGTTACAGGCATTCATGATGGATGGTTAAATTGTACAAGTTTACATTTTATCTGGCCTAATCATTTTCCAAGTAAGTATGTAAATAAAGAGAGTAACACGACATACTAACATTTAGCTTTATACAAGTTATATTATAGACAACGAGTAATCGAATCATAGTAAATCTGAATTAAAATTTATACAGGTGCTTAGGAGTATCGTAACAAGGAGTCCACCTGGTCAGCAGAATGTTAAAATGACAACGATGCAGCTGGATTTTTTAATGAAAAATGGCAAACAAGGTAGCTCATTGACCATGATCATTTGCCATCAGATGAGATCACCTGATGGTAAACGATCACCGCAACCCATAGACATTTACAATATCAGATGAGTTGCGAAAGTTTTGCCGGCCAATAAGGTAGGTGACCTATAGGCTCACCCTTTTGTCGTATAGGTTTGGAAATATAATTGATTCCATAAAGTTTTCGTGGGTGTGGTTGAAATTGAGAGGATACAGTGTAGGGAAAAGCACTTAGCCTTGTGTGACACCAGCTTTCAAATAGCAATTTCTCAGAAAGCTCGCAGGAAGGGTTCATGGGTAGACATTTCTTGTGTTAAACGAATGTGTTAATTAAAAGGTGTGGAAATAAGTACGAAAAGTCTTTCGCCGCTGTGGGAATCGAATTCGCGCCCAGAGGCTTTCACCACTAAGCTAAACGGTCGATTACCACAGCGACGAAAATCTCAACGTCTTTTATCTACAGTGTGTTTTTAGCATTTCAAGCAACGCTTGGCGCATTGCAATCATTAATGCTTCCCTCTAGTTTTCAATTGGCTTTTATCCATCTTTGAGTAAAGTACACAGGAAGATCTCTTCGATTTCGAAGAAACCATAAGATAGCCTGGTGCTCGTATTAAAGGAGCTAACAATAAACGAGATAGCCGCTATAACATACCAATTATTCCGTTTGTTTGCAAAAAGCCCCGAATATACCGGGCTTAAAATCTCGCATAAACTCAGAGACAGATTGGTAAGGATTCTTTAAGAAAATTATTCTTTACCACCATTAAAGATTCACAAATTAGACGCACAAGCGTAAACTGAGCTTTCTTAAGATGGAATACACTTTATAATTATTTATAAAAAATACGGTCTGCTGTTACACACAGATGTGTAATAATAACGGCTAGAATTTGGGGGTTGAATAAAATCGATACAGCTCAAAACAAACCTCAGCCAGGTTCAAGGTTCTCCATGTAATGTATATCTGCATCCCTTCTGTATTAATTCATCTGCCCCGTTAGGGTGACCAAACTTTACGGTTCCGGATAACTCCAATTGCAATGTTTTATCGTGCACGACTTGTCATTAATATAGGATTTTTAAGGATTTTTAAAGATACCGTGTTAATTTAAAATTTGAATTAGCGACACTCTGAATACTGTTGGGTATTCGTGGCTCCCGTGGCTAGAATAAATTGAGTGATAAAATCCTTAAAAATCTTTAAATCCACTAATAATGTCTAGTACACATGAAAACATTTTCAATGAATTATCTCAAAAAAACGTCTTTACTTCTGCTATTATCCCACCCACATGTGGGTCGACACAACATGGGATTCATGTCGTTAATGGTAGGTTTGATTTACCACCAGCCACCTGCGCGACGACAACCTTGGAAAGAAACACAGATCCAACAACCAGAAACAATTATCTCTGGGTCACACCAATACTTGCCCCGTATGGGAATCGAATCCACGACCCCCACTCACGCCAAATTAACTTAGCAGCTGCGTCTACACGTCATGAAAAAAACGTAATATTGTATAAATTGTAGCGTACGCACTGTACGGATGCTAACGGTACTTTCACGATTTTGGATTTGGGATCATAAAATCGCCGATTCCAATTCCACTGGGGGGCACCAATGTTTAGTCTCTCTTTCGAATTATTGTAGTAGGTGCATCTCTCACATCTTTGACCCATTTGGTGCTAAATAAACTTGTTCATAGGCCAAATGGCGAATTATCTGAGCAATTGTTGTGAACAATTTTCATCGCAACAAACTGCAAAAATCCAAAAATGCAAGCTTCACGGTGCTTCTAGGGAGATCTTGCAGTGTGAGAGTGTGCAAGTGTTCTCCTTTGTGTCCACTTTGTGGAATAAGGTGCCTACCTTTAAGAAGAGAGCCTAATTGCCAAATCATGGGCAGTGAAGCTGCTGAATGTACTCGTAGATGGTCCTGAATGGAATGTGGCTCGAAATGAAGTTTTACGAATATATGAGCGAAATGCCTAAATATACTCAAATTTAAGGTTACTAACTGGAATATAAATAATTACTTCTCGATTATACGCGAATATTATACATATTAAATGAAACTTTTAACATTACTTTTGATTGTACTTTATGAAGCAATTGTGTTATAGGTTTAATTAAATCCGCACACGGGGAAAACGTTTGAGTCATAAATTTTTGTATTTTTTTATGTTAGAAAATGGCAAACGTGCTGGCGGTTCACCTGATGTTAACTGATAACCGCCGCCCATGGCCATTTGCAAGACCCGTAGGTCAAGATTGTATAATGACATAATCGAAACACTTACAGTGTATATGTTTCTTCCATAATTTCTCCTATTTTAAAGTTATTATTTAATGTCCGAAATTTGTCATGTTTGTCATTTGAATTAATAAACAGGTTTTATTATTTAAATAATATTTTCTTTTAATTAAATCAGCAGCTATTGAAATAGATCAAACGCCGATTAATAAAATTCATTTGCTTACTCTATTTTGTTTTGGCAAGTTTTCAATATAACCCCTCTAAGAAGAACGAACAAGACTTACTGGTTTTTTAGTTTAATTTTAGACGTTTCAGTTTGTAGTTACTCATGAAATTTAGTTAGTCATTGCCGGTGAGCCGCTTTAACTTCGGAGAGGGCTTGTCTGGACACACTACACTAAAGCTACCGAAGACCTTATTCTTGTGTCACTATAAACGCGATATCGCTTTGAAATCGCGATAAAATAAAACAAACTACCTTTGCGAATAGCACTTGATAAATACTTTCTATTCCCGTTTAGGTTTAATTTTAGTAATTTTAGTCGATATTTAGATGAATATATTGTAGTTATCGCATATTTTATTAGATAAGCAGGCAAACGTATGTTAAACGTATGGTATTCCAAAATGTACTGAAGAAGTTCAATAAAGTTGGTGAAAATAAAAAAAACCGGCCAAGTGCGAGTCCAATTCCCACACAAAGGGTTCTGTACTATTATCTATAAAAACGGCAAATCATATCTGTTGTATGGGAGCCCTCTTTAACATTTTTTATTCTATTCTTTAGTATTTATTATTATAGCGGCAACAGAAATAACAGAGACAAAAGAATCTGTAAAATTTTAACTCTCTAACTATCATGGTTTATGAGATACAGCCTGGTTACAGACAGACAGACAGACAGACAGACGGTGGAGTCATATTAATTTCTTTTTTGGGTACGGAACCCTAAAAAGCTGAACTAAGAATTCAATTAAATTAATCTTCAAAAATTATGATGGTAAGATTTAACCACACGCCGTCCACATGCTCTCTGTTTCTCCTTCACTTAGCTAAGAACTAAGCATCAAATAATTAATTTGGGGGTTTTACGATATTCAAGATTTTTTTTTTTCACTTTTTCACACATTTCTTAAGCACAATGTTTTTGCTTTGTTCCCCATCGATTTTTTTTATCGAAGCTATTCTGCTATTCTGTTCAAATAATTCAATAAATCAACATTCAATATTTGTCGTTCTTATTTGTTCACATTAATTGAATGCAACTACAAATAAAACTACCAAATAGTTTAGATCAACGTTGTGACGACACCTAGAACAAAATATCTGTACCTATTCACTAGGAAATAAAGGCTTTTGATTTTATTTGATTCGATTAAGCACGATCGCAAAAGCCGCCCAGAATAGGTCCGGCGCGTATGCAGCGAGATATAAAAGCGGTCGGAGTCCCGGCTTCCCCACAGTACGGCCCGGTGCGTTGCCTCGCGAACTCGCCACGCCACACCCGCTCTTATCCCCTACGCCATAAAGAATATTATTAAGCCAACATGGTGAGTCACGTCCTATACTTTTTTATATCGCCGTTATTAAAACTTCTCGATATTTCCGTTCCGTCGCAATACTATGTTTGGATTGTTTATTTTTTTTTGTTTTTATAAAATTCTAAAGTTAAAGCAGAAATACGATGTACAGATACGACAGAAAAATTAAGCGCTTTTTAAAATATATATTTCGTACCTTTATTTGTAGAAGAAAAATTCTTAGCCTCTACTATGACATATTTGGCACCTCAATTAATTGAAAGTAATCAATGGTAATACTCAGTTTATTGCGACAAATTTATTCTATGAAAATTATTATATGAAAGGTATCCATTTCATTACAATATGTATTCAAATGTCTGCTGAGATATCCAATAATATAAAATACTAGCTGCTGCCCGCGACTACGTCTGCGTAGAGGGGTGAAAATTTAGCGCTGTATGTATTTTTTATGCTGTATCATAAAAAAATAAAAACAAAAAAATTTGTCCGAAAATTAAAAAAAATGTTAAGGGTGAACAACCCTTACCACTTAGGGGTATGAAAAATAGATAGTAGCCGATTCTCAGACCTACTAAATATGTATATAAAATTTGGTAAAAATCAGTAAAAATCAGTTTCGGAGGAGTAAGGTAACTAACATTGTGACACGAGAATTTTATATACAAGATTAAAATACTTTTTTCTCTCTGTAAAAATTAAACGTAACATATCGGCTAACTAAAATAACTAACTCATTAGAGGAAAATTTAAATGAGGTACCTAAGAAACACTTCTGCAGAATGTTTAAATTTATAAGATTTTAATCTTCACAGAAAAATTAATCATGAAATGGTGTAGAAAGTCCTTAAAAAGTTTAAACATAGATAAGTTAGCTTTATAAAGGGGGTTATGTAAGAAGAGCCATGTACCGGGCTATCAGAGCATGCATGTAAGTCTAGCATCTGCAATTGGCATTGTGGCAATGTTAAAGCACGCCACGCCACCGTGGCCCGTCCGAGGTTGAAATTTATAACACAAGCTAGACCCAGGAAATGAAAATGGCCCTTAGAACTTCTACGAGATGGCCGGAGGGCACGAATTTTATCCGTGGCCAATTTCAAATCGTGCTTTCGGATAGTGTTTTATCTAAACTGGACTGGCTTTATAAAATACATATAAAACATTTTAGAAAAGTCCTACCAATCTTACTGCTTGTTAATTTCATAAAATTAATATAAAACTTGATAAGTCTATATCAAAAATATTATTTGGATCTCTCTGCAAAACATAAACTAAAAAGTGTCTCTGGACATATATTAATAAAAACTGAAAAAAAATTAACAGGAACAAATTTACTCTTCTACTTTGGTAGCTGTTAATCCTATAAAAATAAAATAAGACGTATAAGTATCCTACATACTAAATATAAATAATAAAGCGATTTTTATGTCAAATAATATTATATGTAAAAATACCTTGCTATTTCTTGAAAACTTCCGTAATCCGTTCTTGTATAGCTTACATACCTCGGAACTATTTTAACTATGGACAATTACGTTAAAGTAAATATTAATTTTAGTTTAATAATTCTCATGTTATTCGAACGTTTAATGATAAATACTTGATTTAATAAACTTCCAGAAACTAGATAAAGATTGCATTTTTTAATAATTCGTGCTATAAGGGTTGGCAAGTTCAATGATCTGATCGTATTCAACAATTCATTTTATTCGACATTCCCATTTCCTAGCTTTTTTGAGAACCAATTTTTAATTATGAATTTGCACTATTAACTATTACTATAACAATACGAAATAATTTATACTTCTTTTGAGTTAAGTAGAAGAAGTAAAGTATGCAAATAAATTAGAATTTAAACATTTTACTTAAAATTGGTAAAAATATAACCTTTTTACAAAGTAACCATAAATTGCCTGGTTGTGAATTATTGGAATACTTTGTGTTATATGAAATGTATAAACCATATATTTTCTATACACCGTGAACGTTTATAGGAGCGAGTTAAAATCAACTGTCCCATGTAAAACGTTCGGATTGATTATTCAAAGTCAGGAACAGTCTGGAAAATTGAGGATTCATGATGCGGGACGTGTTTCCAATTAATAGAACTTTGGGCACGACTTGAGTTCGAGCGTGTCAGTACCGCATATGCAATGAGGGGTTGCATCCAAAAGAGTATTGATTTATTGTGACTTCATTGTTCTATTATAAGTTGTTCAGTGGTAAGCTTTATTGGGATTTGTATTTAGGGGGCAGTTATGCACGCGGTTGCGTTCTAGACATTGACGAAACTGATCCCACGGCGCAAGACTAGCTTAGTTTTGTTTTTTTTTTTGGATAAGAAGTTTTTTTTTTTTAATTTTTTTTTTTTTTTTTTTTTTGTATACTCACTGATTGACGAAACTGATCCCACGGTACCAGCTTAGCTTAGTTTTGGATAAAGGGGTGGGTTCTCATGTGTAATATAGAGTTTGTAAAAGAGAAACGCCCTTTTATTTATACATTACATAATTATATTATGTATGTGTTAAACAAGTTAGGTATTAAAGTTTGTGTTTTAACTAATTTGCCAATATGGAGATTTCGTAGGAAAAGTGTCGCCTCATCAAACTCATACAACATATTTAAAACAATCAACATGAATATTTGTCTAAACTCTACAAAGTTAGGCCTCTAACATTCTTCTTTGTTCAAAACGTAAGAAGGATGCAAACATTATACTTTTGGTTTAAAAAGAGACTAATTCGAAAAACAAATTCATATGAATTAGTAATAGATAAATAGAGGACTACTTGCAGGCAAAGAGTTCAAATTGCTCTAAAAGATTCCAATACACAAAGTAAATAGAAATATTTTTTAAATGTCTGAGCGCCATGAAATGAAGCCTATTTTATTTTCAAACCAAACTTTCATTATAGAATAATATAACAAAATAATCATTAATCATGTAAATCTCACTATTACTTTACCTATTTAAGTGAAAAGAATAGTTTTTAATTATTTATCCATTCACATTGTCGAGGCATTGATATGGCTGATATAAGAATTTGTACAAAAAAAAATTGCCAATTCATGGGTCTTAATAACGAATTTTCTGCTCAGTTGCCACCGGAGTAATGATTCGATCGATTTTAATAATTACTAATGCTCGACTTGCTTTTTTTAATAACTTTTTTAATATAAGTAGCTTATTTAGTGGACGGTAGCAAAAACAGATTAAATATCAAAATGCCAATGGATTATTTAAAGAAAGTAAAACGAATTAAACTTTCGTTCATCAAGTTAAAACTGGAGCAAACGTATTGAATTAAAACTTTCGCAATCAAAAACTTCAGTGGGAGTAATATATAAAAATGATTAAACTTTGAACATTAAGTTCTAAAATGTTTTCTTAGTAGTTGAGAACTAAATTCTTCGCACGCGTGTCGGGTGTGCAATTACGTGCAGCGCTAGTTAAATTTACAAGAGTATATTAAACTTAAAACGTAACCTATAATTTTCAGTTTTCATCATAGATTCAGTTGTTCAGCAGTGGATTCGAACCGGCCGAAATGACGATGATGAATCTACAATTATCTAAGTTGTACTAGTAATTATCATTACAATTTGTCCATATTTAGAGTCACGCGACAAGTAAAAACGCATAGTTACGTGTTTCTAGAATAGTCGAACGATAGTACCTCAGCTAATACGAATCAATATACCAGCAATGTATGTGTCTACCAATTTCATTTCAAATTAAAATCGAACTCAGGTATGTAATCATGGAGCACATCTTTATATGGAACTAGCGACCCGCCCCGGCTTCGCACGGATGCAATGTAGTTATAGAATTTCTCGTCTTTTCTCTTCTATAATATGCACGTTTACTGCATATAAATCTCCCGCTTGATTCACTCTATCTATTGCTGAAAACGGCATTATAATCTGTTGCATAGTTTAAAAGATCTAAGCGAATTTGTTTTATGCTAGGTAAAGATTAGATCTGATCGTTTTTTGTTGGTATAATTTAGACCGCACTGTGATAGAAGACTCGTAAATATTGCATTATTATTTCATATTATTTAAGAACATAAAAATTATTTTCCAGTTCGCTTAAAGCTTTCGTTATTCAAAAATTTCAAAAAAGGGTAATAAGATTGTCCAATTAAACATCTTTCATTCTTATATTAAAAATAATAAAGTGGCGTCAGGCATATTTGATTATATACAATACTCTCTTTGCTTTGGGTTGGTATGTGATCGACTTAATTATTATGAATAAACATTCAAAGAATATTATAATATTCAATCTTATTATAAGAATCTATTATATTGAGAATATTATAATATTCTTTCCTTATATACATAAGGTTTATCATTAATAGTTATAACTAACTATTAATGATAAACCTTTTTTCACGTACGTTGTTATAAATCATTCAAAGAATGGGGAATACAACACAATGATATTCCTCGAGATAATGTAACGAAATTGGTAATTTAGCTAAACTAAGTGCTGGACTGTACGTAAAGTGAAGCTTCGAAGTATTGAAATTCCGAACACTCTGGGCAGTTTCATTATTCTAGCGTCGATTGTTTTGTGTTAAAACGTCTATAAATATACGAGGATACAGGAAACACTATTAGCTGTATGATCCTTGCGAGCGATTGTACAAAGGTAAAAAAAAAAATATGAAAATATTACATTTTTTTATCTGTATTGAGTGAAATGGTTACCGTTGTCGTTGTTTTTTTTTTATAGAAGTTGGTGTAAGGGCAGTGCGGAAAGCTTAATTGATGTTGACTACTTAGAATCACTGATACGTATGGACGTATACCGGAGGGATAGCAGTAATTTTACCAACCTTCATCAACTCTACTTTCCGCCGATCGTATACGAGGCCGTGCTAGTGCCAAGACAATCCTTTTTATCCTTGTACAAAGTCAAAATTTTTGAAATTGATGGCTCCGTGGCGCAGTTGCCAAGGTATTGGCTTCGGCGTTGGGGGTCGTGGGTTCGATTC